GTTTTGTCTTTCGGGTGAACCAGTTTTTGTCTGAGTGTGTTGCTGGGTCACTGGTAGGTAGGGGCGGCCATTTGCTACGAACAATTGGGGTGAGAGAAGGAAGACAAGATAAAAGACACGCTGTGGAAGAGAGAAGTGTGATTCAGTGCAGAGAGGTCTATTAACACATAGTGCATCATGGGAATCCCACACCTATTGCAACATAACTAAGTGAGGAATCATGGTCACCTGATCCAGCCCTAGCTATATGCTTTGGCAAAAATAAAGTATGAAGCCTGATCTTAAAAGCAGAGATGGTGTCTGTATCCTAAATCAAACTGGAAGCTGGTTCCACAGAAGAGAGGCCTGAAAACTGAAGGCTCTCCCTCCCATTCTACTTTTAAATACTCTAGGAACAACAAGTATCCTAAAAGTAATAAATGCATGAACTAGTTTTTCAGCTTCACTCTAAGACAGGATATTTCTCATTTTTGAGGTATTGCACAAATGGAAGAAAGCAGTCCTATATATTTGTTTAACATGTTCATTGAAGGACATATCCTGGTCAAAAATGACTCCAAGGTCCCTCACAGTGTTATTGGAGGCCAAGGTAATGTCATCAAGAGTAAGAATCTGGTTAGATACCATATTTCTAACATTTTCAGGGCCAAGAACAATAACCTCAGTTTTATTTGAATTAAGAAGCAGTTTTATTTGAATTAAGAAGCAGAAAGTTAGAGGCCATCAAGGTCTTTTTGTCTGTTTGTATGTAAATATAATTACACTGTAATTTTACAGAAAATCTAAACATGTAATGATGCCATAGACCGTGTTACTACATGTTACTGACACGTCTGTAATTCTGAGCGGTCCATGCAGACCTATATTAAAGCTGAGAGTCTGAACGTCACTGATGGTCTGAGAGTCATCTGAGGTGAAGCAAAACTATAAACAATAAATCATGTGTAATGCTGCTATGACACTTTTAACCCCCGATAGCATGAGAGGAACCACAACAGGAAACCGACACAACAGATAATACAAAAAAGATTTTTTTCAGCATATACACACACACACACACACACACACACAGCCTTTAATCTTACAGCAGCAACCCCCAAATGTTATAAAGCTCTGTCTCCAAAGGAGGTATAAATAAGGTTCAGTGTGAATAAAGGGGACGTGACGGGGTCTTCAGCAGAAAAATGGAAAAATTCAGCCTTTCATTTTTTATCACAGTGTGAGAGGAAGCTGAGACAAAGAGCGGACGTCACACACACACACACACACACAGAGGGCAGGGTAAAGAGGAAGGCTCGCACTGGGGTTTCTCACTGCTTCGTATTTCTCTTTAATTGCAGCGTTTAGTGTTTGTTGGATCATCGCCCTCGTCATCCTCGTCCTCACCTGTGCAGCCTCAGCAGCCGGCTTCATCATCCGCCGCCACACCTGTGAGTCTTCTGATCGGAGCTTTTGCTGTAGCGCTGACTTGGACAGTCAGAAGACACTGACTCTGAAGACTGTTTCAACGTTTCAGGCTGGAAACAGAGGCTGAAGCTCAGAGGTGGCACTTTGAACCTTCAGGTGTGTTTTTCCTGCTTTTCAGCAAGTTTGGGGTTAAACTCTGTCAGATGATGTAATGTGTGATATTTTTTAGATAAGATCAGGAGTGCTGTGAAGAGGCGTTTTCTGTTGATTTATCTTGAAAAGATTGAACCGATAAGACGGCGTTTCCCTGCAAACGGCACGTTCCGTCAGCTGCTCGCACGAGCACAGAAACCACACATTTACAAAACTCATCACCACCTCAGGAACAAAGTTTAATCAAAGAGTAACCGAGTCTCTCAGCTGTGCAGCGTCTCTGCAGCTCAGAAACACAGTTGATAAATCTGATAAAGTTTGTGTGCGCTGAAAGGAGAGGTCGTGACCACATTCGCCATCACCTGCAGGTTAAAAAAAACTTGTTTACAGTTTTTACAAAATAAATCTGTTTTTTAAACTCTGACAAAAAATAAATAAAAACTGTTATAATCAGTTCAACATGTTTTCTGCAGCCTGAACTTTTCCAAGCATCTGAAACGAGAAATTGACCTTTGACCTGCCCGAGTACAGTTGGGGGGCTGCTCTCAGAAGGACTGAGTATAAAAGTGCCAGCCGAGGCCGAGGCGAGCTCCGAGCTGTCCTGAACCACTGGCTCCCATTTCTGCACAAGCAGAAGAGAAATTTCCCATTACCCGCCGCAGAACAGCGATGTGGCGTCTGTGTCGTGCAGGCTGAACTCATTTTAGAGGAGAAATAAACAGTTCCTCAAATGCCTCAGGTTCCTGCTCTGCACTTCTGCTCCCAGCGGCCCTCGGCTGTAATTTCTCCCCTCAGACTTCCCGTATTTCAAATGTCACCTGCGGGGAAGCGAAAGGTCCAGAAGACCTCAGATGATTTCATCTGCCGCGCTGCCCCGAAGGATGCACACAGCAGAATGTCCGATGTGCAAGCGGCGGGAAATGGCCCCTTCCTGTTTGTGTCCTGTCACCTGCTCAGGTGTTTGTGTAATTAACTTCCTGAAAACCAGCAGCTGATCTCAGGTCAGCATTTAGTACACCTGCCCACATACTGCAAGTAATCTATTACATTTCCAGCCTTGTGATTACTGCCCTGACTGAACTTTATTTAAAACACGAACGCACCAATAAAATCAGAAATCAATTAAAAACACAATAAAGATATAAAAATAAGACAGTCAAATATAAAATGGCAGACTACATTATTCAGTTTAATTTTATTTATATTTTTTATTTATACCAAATCACAACAAAAGCTTAAAAAGGTAATAAATAAATACATTAATTTAACCATAGAAAATAATAAAGACAGAAGAAAATACAAACAATTTAAACTAAATCAGACTATAAAACAAAATGTGAAAAAATGAAGTTTTTAAAAAACTAAAGGTATAAAAATCATGTTGTAAAATAAAATAAAGCAGACTGCAGAATAAATAAGAATAAATTACACAAAGGTAAAAAGATCATAGAGACATAAAAATGAAAATAAATCAAATCTAAATGAAAAATGAAATTATATTAAAAAGATGATGAATAAAAGCTGCTCCCTTACTCACACGGGATTAATAAAATAAAATAAAGTTAAATTCAATTAAATTGAATTACATGAAATTAAAATAAGTTACACTGAATTAAGTTAAATGGACTTGTGCCTTTTTTCTGCACATGGCGTTTTGTGACATTTGGACATTTATTGACATCTAACTGCTGCTGATGGTTAGGAAGAAGTTTTCTTATTTACAGGAAACCCCTTGATAAACAAACACACCTGAGCCTGTCAGGTAGACCAACACCTGGCTCTTTCTGCTCGATTTTAATCTTTGATATGAAGATAAAAAGTTGAATATGTGAGGAAGAAGGAAGATGAAGAGGGGGAGGTGTTCATTCTGCTGCGGAGCGTCTTGCGATTTGGGGGAAATAACTGAGGGGGAAGCCATGCATGCATGAAGTGGGTCACTCGCTGTTTCTGACCTCATTTCTGCAAACCTCCTGCAAATGCTCAAACACCTGAAACGGTGTGGCATGCGCACCATTGGCACCGCAATGAGGACGTCTGCATCGGAATTTATCAGCAGCAGCAGCTCAAGGGAGCTGGCTTCTGCACCACTTTCACATGTTTAACATGACAAAGTCCTCTCAGGTTTCAGGACTCGCTGCTTAGCGGGGACGAGTCAGAGCATGAGTGAGCGCTGGAATCTGGAGGCTGTAAAGTGTGTCACTCATTAATCTCAAAGAGTTTTGTGACTGACACTGTCTGATGTGAAAGTTTACTCTTTAAAAATCATTCCAGACTTTCCTCAGAAGCTGTTTCCATCTCACTCTAGAGTAAAAACTCACTGACAAACACCGACTCTTACTGTCACATGGAGCTCACAACCCAAATGAGAGCCAGGAGCCTCGCGGGCTTCTTGCCTAGTTTATGATGGCATAAAAATTATCCAATTATGTTACAGCGCAGGAACATGAGCGTGACACATGCAGAGAACAGCAGCAGAAACATGAAAATGAGATATAACCTCTGACAAGGTGAAAACTTATGATTCCTCAGAGGGAGACAATGGAAAAAAGAAAACATTTAGAGTATTTGAGTGGACAATGGGACGTTTCCAAGAAACAAACTGTGGAGCTTACAACCACTGTGAGGCTTCCTCACTGTGTTTGCATCAAAGTCACAAAAACAGTGTTTAAATTAATGAATAACAACAGTCACTGTGGTATTTTGAAATGCTGTTTCATCAGCCTGAAACACGCCTGCTTCAGGTTAAAGTTATGGTAATGGTGTGACACTTAGTTCTTAGAGTTTGGGTGGTTTAGGACGACAGGTCTGTGGATGTCCAGCTCAGGCTACTTTCTGCTGTCTTGTGGCCTTGGACAGTGAACTCATTTTAGTGCTCGCCCTGCCAGAGTTTCACTGCAACAAAAAGGTGTCAAAAGAAACATTGCGCTGGTTTGAGTCATTTCTCTCTAATAGTCTCCAAAAAGCAGAGTCGTCCTCACACACAGCATTAGACATGGAGTCCCACAGGGTTCTGTGCTGGGATCAATACTTCTTCACAGGCGGCAGCCTCGCCTCTGTCAGTGCGCCCCAGGGCAGCTGTGGCTACAATGTAGCTTGCCATTGCCAGTGTGTGAATGTGTGTGTGAATGGGTGAATGACTGAATGTAGTGTAAAGCGCTTTGGGGTCCTTAGGGACTGAGTAAAGCGCTATACAAATGCAGGCCATTTACCATTTCACATTATAGATGTACAAAAGAGAGGAAGTAGGAAGAACAGGCAAGAGTGAAATGGAGGGTTTGAAAACATGCAGAGGAGGGAGAGTGGATATAGTGGACAAAAGATGATGAAGATGGAGCTGCCAGGCAGAAGGAGAAGAGGAAGACCTCAGAGGAGGTCCGTGAAGTAGGACATGGAGAGGGTTGGTGTGACAGAGGAGGATGCTGGGATAGGAGAAGATGGAGGAAATGATGGAGTGGCTAGAGAAAGGGGCTGAGAAAGGACGAAGAAGAAAATTCTCTTGGGCAACGCCATTAAAAACATTGTGTCTCAGAGGGATGATGAAATACTAGTTCATGCAGTTTTCAGGCCCCTCTTCTATAGAACCAGCTTCCAGTTTGGATTCAGGAGACAGACACTTAAGATTTTTTAAGATTAGATTTCAAACTTTCCTTTGTGCTAAAGTATATAGTTAGTGCAGGTTCAGGTGCACGGTCACCTGAACCTGCCCTTAGTTATGCTGCTAATTGTTTGAAGAGATGCAAATGAAAAAATGTGGCTCTCATTTAATTATTATGAAGATACAGAGCTGTTTAATGTGCCAACTGAAAATGCTATAGCATCCACACAGCTTTTTCATCGTGTGCCCTCAGGTCTTCCTCTTGCCATCACCTTTGTTTCACTGTGAGTTCATCAGACACCTTTGCTGTAGTTTGATGTTTTATCTCTGCTTCCTTTATAGTGAACGAAAATGATCTACTCTGCAAAGAATTTGATGTCATACACCACGGAGATATTCAACCAATCATACACCACGGAGATGTTCAACCAGTCATACAACCAAACCAAAGATGAAGAAGAAAACTACGATTATGATGGGTTTTGTCAGTTTCAAAAAAACCAGAGTATGGCGAAGGTGATTGGCCCGTATGTCCACTCCATCATCTGCATCCTAGGCTTTGTGGGGAACAGCCTGGTCATTGTCACCTACGCCTTCTACAAGAGGACCAAGTCCATGACTGACATCTACTTGTTCAACGTGGCCATCGCCGACCTGCTGTTTGTGCTGGCACTACCATTCATTGTCTACAACGAGCTGTGGTCATGGCCGATGGGGCAGGTGGCCTGCAAGCTGCTGCGCGGCTCCTACAGTGTGAACCTGTACAGTGGCATGCTGCTGCTTGCTTGCATCAGCACCGACCGCTACATTGCCATCGTCCAGGCTCGGCGCAGCTTCAGACTGCGCTCGCTGTCGTATAGCCGCATTATCTCCGCCATTGTCTGGATCTTTGCTATACTCGTGTCAGTCCCCACCTTCTACTTCTACGACTGGTACAAGCCATCACACATGACTGGAATCATATTCAACGATGATATCTCAATGCAGATGCTGAACTCAACCTCTGAGTACGTCTGCGAGTTCAAGTTTGAAGACCCAAAAACAGCCAAAGAGGTGAAGGTAGCCGTCCCCAGCACCCAGATCAGCGTGGGTTTCTTTCTGCCACTCTTCATCATGATCTTCTGCTACAGTGCCATTATCGTCACCCTCCTGAAGGCCAAAAACTTCCAGCGGCACAGAGCGGTGCGGGTGGTGCTGGTGGTTGTGGCCGTTTTCATCATCTGCCACCTGCCCTACAACATAGTGCTGCTGTACGACACGGTCACCTTGTTTCAAGAACGCTCGTGTGATGATGCAGAAACATTGGAGATGGCCCTGAAGGTGTTGCAGACCATTGCTTACATGCACTGCTGCCTGAACCCGGTGTTGTACGCCTTCGTGGGAGTGAACTTCAGGAACCACTTCAGGAGGATCTTCAGGGACCTGTGGTGTCTTGGAAAGAAGTACATGGCCCCACGCCGCTTCTCCAGAGTCACCTCCGACTTCTACATGTCCTCCACTCGGCGCTCAATGGACGGGTCCAGCAACAGTGGTGCTTCTTTCACCATTTGAAGACATTTGTGGGTTGATCTCTGAAGCTCCAGGTCTCTAACACCGAAACTGACTCACTTCTGTCACACCGATAAGATTCTTAAAATCCAGAGAAAAATATTTAGAAGATAAAGAGTTCTAACCCCATGCTGCACCTCTTGTTCTACTTCATTATTTTAATCATGAAATATTCCAACTCCTGCATTTTCTTTTTGTGTGTGATTATTTTGTGAGTGATGACTGAAGATGAGTCTCCCACAGAGCCTCCTGCTGTCTTTACTACACAAATGAAGCCCAGAGCTCATCATTTCCTGCACCTGCAGATGATGAGCTCTAAGCGAGGATAAAAAATGACCTTGGAAGAGCTGACTGATGTGTTCCTGAAAAGACTGATGGCGACTCGAAACTTCGTGTCCTCTGAAGGTCTCAGAAAGGATACTGAAACAGGCTCTGATGTTCAGTCCTGCACAGCTGAAATATTCCTGTGCTAAAATAGCCATGTGACCTGCATAGGCAGCAATAATTAGCTGCCTCTCCAGTGAGTCCCTCCTCCCACAACTTTCATGCCCGCTGGTCCTGGTTCTGCTCATGATCCAGTTCTTCACCTGCTGCACCATTTGGTTAGAAAGACCCTCCAGAACAGAACCAGAACTAAAGCCACCCCAATCGCACCATCAGTACCAAGAACCCCGACACAAGCACATGAATTTTCAAATTAAGAGCGAGGGGGATTGTCCAATCCCCAACACACCTGATCAGCTCATTGTAGTAAACTCGCCGTCAGACCAGCACCTTCAAGCTCCATTTGGTCTCCTAAACATCATCAGAGTCAAAACCAACATGTTTGGTGACAATGTCTGTGATTGCTTTGTGAAAGCTTTTAAAGAGCTGTTTTTACTGGAATCATTGCCAGCTGCCACCCATAGATGTGGATTCATAAATGATGGCTGGCATGGCCTGAAATACTTGTCATCAGCGTCAGGGCTCAGGCTTACAGATTGGTTGTGTTGCAGCCAGATGCTCACTGTTACAGTGATTCTGTCATGTAAGTGTGTCACACAGTAAAAGATATCCATAAAAGGGACGAGCCTACCCTGAACCTTGACCCGTTAGAAGGTTACTCACCAGACTAACTGGACATTGACCATTAAAGCCTACCAACAAACAACAGCTGATAGGCTCCACCATCCACATGAGACTGCAGGCATGTTTCGAATCCTTTTTTTAACATTTTGTACTTAAGAATGTATTTTTTATGTTTATTTGCCGTTTGTCATTTCATTCATTCAGCTGTGCTAGTAGTCTGCATTGATGTGAATGTGTAATCCTAATCTGCTCATGGGTGATTTCCAGGATTAAGAATTTAAACTTTTCAGAGGTTTTCACATCCTCATTTAAACCCTGATGAAATTCAGTTTTTCAATTTTAATTTTGTCTCAAGGCACATACATTTAGAAAACTCGGCTTTTCTTCATATCCAACTCTTATTTGTTGTGATTCCTCTCATCTTTTTTTTAAAAATTCCTGTTCATACCTGTGTTTATTATTGTGACAGTGAATGTATCCTTTGAATGTAATATTACAGCTGAGCTGTCAGATTTGTGCCTTTCAAAATAAATGCAGTTTATTTCATCTATAGCTACGGGTCCAAGTTTTTGTTTTAATGTCTCTGTCATTCTATGGCTAAACACTAGGTGGCGCCTTTTCCAGAACTTTAACGGGATTTAAACCTCTGGAGTGTAAAGGACATTTACTGATTTCCTTTTAAAGGAGTATTTTCTTTGTTGTACACAGCTGAGTTATGGCATATCTTCGATGTTCAGACTCTTTGCAGAGTTAGACTCCCCAAAAACAAGACAACGGCACAGAACAGGACAAATCTGCAAAATCGCACTACTTTAAACAGAATTACGATCAAATAAACAAAAGACATCAAGCTTTCTAGACAACACTGAGCTAGAAATGAGGGTTTTAATCTATTGTGTAAACATCTATAGTCCGCCTGCTGTTAGACAGTGGGGTCTGGTAAAAGCATGCTGCTGCAGTTTCCTGCAGAGGTGATTTGTGCACAGAGAAAAGTCATTTGGACGCAGAGAGAGGAACTGCAGGAGGTTAGAAACAGGCGGAACCATGAAAACACGTCTGATTTAAACTCGTCTGATCTTTCTTTCATGGCGGCTTCTCCGTGCACACTTCATCTCTTTCAGCACTGCTTCTGTTTTAAGGACACCCTGGCGCCATGTACAGCTTTGCTTACAGCTCTGCTGAGAGTGTAACACTGGGCAGTCAATTCACTGTGTTTAATGCATGTTTTAGCATTTATGTGAAGAGATCAGAGTGTGTCTCTTCACTAACTGGACCTCTGGACTCTATATACTGAAGTCTCAGAGACAATGTTCTGTCACCTTACCGGCCCTCTGGTAAATAATGAGACCATGTCTGTGTCTTGAGTTCATATGCATGAATCAGAAGGGGGCACATGAATGATGACTGAATTATGAATGACATGACCACACTGAGGACAAACTGTGGATACATTAGTGTATGAAAGCAGACACAAGTGCACGAGTGGAAAACAGAAACTGTCCAACACAGGAGTGTGAAAGTCACAACCTTCATGTACTGATTTATTCTGAGCATGAATTTTTATCAGTCCACTGTCACACTGCAATGATACAAATGGGTATGGTATATTTAAAGTGATCATTCTTTTTACAACTACATGAATGTACTATTTCTGTATGATTTATTACTATTACTGAAGGTTACTTGCCATACCAATACCAACTAGATTTTTAGATCTTAATCTAAAATGAGTAACAGAAGGGTGGGTAAGGCTGCACTTTTTGCAGCGATCTCGTGTAGAAAACTATTCCGTGCGAATATAAAACAAGTCTGCGGCTGGATGGTCTGAGCTGTAGTAAAGGGACCTCTGGCCGGGTTCTGTGTCAGGCTCGTAGCTGAAAACTAGCTTTACTTTGTTGTTTGGTTCAACTTTGCTAGAGAGAGACAGAGAGAGAGGCGTTAACAGCCTGCTCCAACATAACTTATTATATTATAATATATTATAACTTATTTCTGAGGAAAACATGAACACAGTATATAGTTGAGTCTTGACAGTTTACTTACAACTGGGCTCGTCACGCACTCTTTTTGGCTGCAGTGGTTATTATTATATTTACATGCTTCCATCTCCGTTTCTGGTGAGTAACTTGTACTTTTTGACTCTCTTTTTTCTCCCTCCCTCGCATTCAGATACATAACAAGTATGCAGTGTTGGGAAGGTTACTTTTAAAATGTATTCCACTACAGATTACAGAATACATGCCCCAAAATGTATTTTGTAACATATTGCGTTAAGTTACTCAATTAGTAACGTATTCTGAATACTTTGGATTACTTACCGTATTTTCTGCACTATAAGGCGTACTTAAACTTCTCAAAAATTGGACTTCCGGTTGAGCTTTGATGGAGTAGGATGTGAGTCTGGGAGCTCCCGCTGACTTTGATTAAATTGGACGTAAAAATATTAGTTGGCATAAATTTGAAGAGTGTGGCATTTTGCACACAGCCTGTAAATGTCAACAACAAAAGGAGTGTGTAAAACATGTATATTGTAGTGATGGCAGTATACTGTGTATATTTATACTGGAAGTATGGAAAATGATTGTTTGGAAATGCATAAAATGGAAATGATCATTTACTGTGAGGTGAGGTGTGGTTGGGGTATGGACAGTGGTTGTGCTTTTGTAACGTTGAGGTATGGACAGTGATTCGTGTTTAGGGGACACATCATTGGTTTCTATTTAAAAACAACAGTTTCTCCACTGTGGAAGGTTGTAGGCGATTTCTTTTTTTGGACAATATTTCCCTTGCTTTTGAAAACACTCGCTCACAGGGCACAGATGAGGCAGGGGTACACAGGTATGTCAGTGCTAACTTATATAAGTGAGGGTAGACATATTTTTGTCTCTCCCAGTATTTAAGGGGGTCCTCCAGCCTTCCAATATTTGGCTCCATCATGTACCGTTGGACCTCAATATTCGTGTCTGCTGTCACATTTTGTGTCTGTGTCTGCCTAACACTTTCATCCAGGCGACGCCACAGGTTGTTACCTAAACAATAAGGAGAGTTTTATGTGATACTAATAATTCAATTTTCAATTCATTGTTATTTATATAACACCAAATCACAACAACAGTTGCCTCAAGGCGCTTTATATTGTACAGTAGATTGTTGGGTTTTCCTCTGTATCTATTATTGTACAATCAGGTTATATAAATGCAACTCAAATGCAATAACAATAGTACTGTGGGAAACAGCCTCAACAGTTTGTGACGTTGATGGCTGTGGTGGTAGTGCGGAGGAAGAGGAGGTGGTGGAGGCCCTCATTACGGAAGCACATTCTGCTTTCTGCTAGCTCTTGCAGGGCTGAGAAATCTGGGTTTTCTGAACCTTGGGTCCAGCAGTGTCGCAAGGCACATAATGCTCATGGTTTGTATTTTATCCAGCTTCTCTCTCAATAGCATCCTCAGCTTCTGAGCCAGAGAAGACCCAATGGAGGGTGATTTTTCCATTTGTTCATTGAGGCAATGATCCAGCATCCTTTGACCCAGACACTCTTTTTTCCTGAGAGAGCTCAGTGGTTGCATCGTTAAATGGTGCTAGGACAACCAGACACGCGTTTCC